AAGGTATCTGTTAATTCTCTTCTCAACGTGTTTGGTGCACTAATTTGAAGCAGATCAGTGTATGTGCATCACAAGCGTACACCCAGGAGTTCATAAACAACTTCAAGGGTTGCTTTGCAAACCCTTTCCCTCTCTGCAATCTCTCCCTTTGGTTGCCCTCTCGCAGTCTACTTCCAGGTCAGAAGTCAAACAGCCAGAACAGGTCAAAAGCATCAGGGAGTCACTGTTTTCTTTGAGTCAGTCTTCCATGAAGAAAAGGTTCTTTTCTTCAGATACGGCTCCTGCCCTCTGTTCTGCTACTACTGGACTGCTCAGAGGACAGGACAGAAGTGAGGAGGAGGAAAGCAGAGGAGCATGTGTGGAGTTCAGTTCCTTTGCCTGGTGCCTCCTTTCAGGGAGGAGCTCCATCGACTAGAAAGAAAAAGTGTCAAAGCTGCTGCCAGAATAGAAGTACTTCGGTTTCTGATGTTCTTTAATTCTCCTACTGTTTACTTTCAAAGTCCTCAAACAGGTCCTTCCTACATTCTGCCCAATTTTATCACAAAGCTGTGTGAGAGTAGCAGGAAGAAGTGTGCCTCCTGGGCCTTCCCAAGAACTCTGATTGTCCCACTCGGTTTTTATAGAGACCAGTTACTAAGGCCCTACTATAAGAGCCAGGCTATATTGTGTTTTGCTTATGTAATCTAAACTTCATAAAACCTCACAATCTGTTGGTATAATTATATACTATAATCTACATTTTATACAGAGGGAAGCAAATGCTTAGAAAAGATTAAATGTTTTGCTAGTGGTTACCTGACTAACAGCAAGACCCATAAAGTCTGAAGAATTTTGCTAGAATGTCCCCAGACTACATGCCCCAAGTCAACTACAGTACTTATTAAAATTGAAGTTTTCTTTGCCCCACCTCAGACACACTAAATCAAATATTTGAGAACATGTATCCAAGAAAGTCTATGCATACTGAAGTGAGAACCAATGCATACTACCTCCAATGAAAGAAGCCATCAGTCCAAATGACTTTAAAAAGGATGATAATGTACATCAGGTAGAAATAGCCATTAGTGTTGGCATCAATCAGCTTAAAATGGCTTGCATGTGCTCACTTTCCCTGTTCTTCTGCATCATGTTGAGACATAAAACAGAAACTGTTAAAACCAAGGTTCATTTTATATACACCAAGATTCTCTGACCCTTAAATCTTGATGTTTTGTTCCTACTCCAACTTCTGAAAAACAAGAGCTTCCTAATGTGGTCCTTTTCAAAATGTATTAATCAACCAGTGTATCAAGTTCTACTTTGGAAAGAAAAGACTTAAGTAAATTACATCAACTCATCACAGAGAGTACTGTCACATTTCTGCCCAGGAGGTAGAGCTGTTCTGTCTTTCCCTAAGGCTCTTACTCACAAAATAAAAAAACAGTTTTGATGGGCTCACTTCTATAAGGCCAGTTTGAATGAGTCAATACTAAAAGGTAAACCTGAATAAAAACTAATGAGAAGAAATGTATTAAATTTGTATGACTAGTAAGAGAAAATAGTTATGCATTGGAAGACAAATGATTTTTTTCTAAGATGAGAAGTTTAATACAAGTTTACATGTGATAACATAATTATGAAGATTGAAAAGGACAATCAAATTGCAGCACTCACTCACAAATGAAATAAGTGACACTAAAACCCTGTACACATAAGCATTTCCCCTTAAGATCTCAGAGTTTTTATACTCATTGCCTTGATGGCTCACAACAGGGATTATCATTCCTAACACATATGGGAAAATCAAGGTCAAGTATACTGTTCTCTCAGGACCTCTGATAGTCCCTTCTGAAGAAATATGTAATAACATACCATAACAGTAAGTCATGTTTTAGTACTAAAACGTATGGCAAATATTCTGCTTTGAAATAAAAATCTTTCTCAAAAAGTATTCTTATGGATATTTATGAAGTTCAAACATTTCAGATTGATCAGCAGTAGTGAATCAAAAATAAAAAGACAATGAACATGTCAGTAATGCTCTACTCTTTCTTTTAGAGAGAGAGCAGGGGTAAAAAAAAAAAAAAAAAAAGAAGCTCAAAACTTCCAAAACATATGGCCCAGGAAGAAAATCTGTATTTGCTTAGAGCAATGAACTGACTTTTACATCTCTGCAGTTGAGTGCACAAATGACTTCACAGGCAACAGCTTCCGTATGTTTCACATTTTTAACGTTGACCGTTCATAATAAAGATTCTTTGATCTCAGATCAAATGTTTGAATCAATTTTCTCTGCACTCACTGAGTCACCGTTATGGACACCACCCTCCTTCCCAGCTCAGTGCTCCACCCCTTCCTAGAGGGAACATCTCCACTTGTCACCTTTCCTGTGGCACATCCTACTCCTTTGCTGTGGTTTCTAGCTCTGCTCAAGAACCTCTTACACAAAAAAGGCACAGTAATAAATAATGTGTATACATAATCAGCTAACTTCTATAATAAAAATGATTCCTCTGAGGAGTTCACAAGAATCTTTAATAAGACACAAAGCACATGGTCATCCAGTTAGCAAAAAGTCTAATCCTCTCCCGGTCAGGAACATGTTCTCAATAGGTGAGGTCTTTAACTATGTGCAAGGGAAAAAAAAAAAAAAAGAACTTAAATATGTTTTAAAAACTAGATTACATTTCTTGGATTTAAACTAGAGTGAAGTGACAGTTTGAAAATTTCAAAGTTCTATATTTTATTTATTTTTATTTTTTACATTTTTATTTTTGGTCTTTTTGAGACAGGGTCTCCCTGTAGCCCCGGCTGTCCTGGAACTCACTATGTAGACCAGGCCGGCCTTGAACTCACAGAGATCCACTTGCCTCTGCCTCCCTAGTGCTGGAATTAAAGGCGTGTGCCACCACGCCTAGCCATTATTTTATTTTTTTAAAAAACCTTAAAACAGAAGATCTAAAGTTTAGATACATGTTAAAAACACTGAAAAAATGTAGGCAATACTGAAAATTTACTATATTCCTAACCTAAACTGTTTTAAGTGATTTCAAGCCTTTTAAAGGCTTTGCTGAGAAGTAACATTTTTACTAGAACTTTAGTTTTTAAAATATCTAAACATGAATTTCACAAAACAATGGTTAATTGAAAAAAATTTAAATTTTCTAGTAGAAGATAAAATTATTCACAAATGCTTCAACTATATTTAGGCCTATTTAAATCTGATACACAAGAAAGGGAGAGATGGGCGGGAGAGGTGGAGAGAGGATGGGAAGGTGGGTGGGAGGGATGAAGGAAAACATCAGAATTTTTAAAAATTCCTTCAAAATTCATTTAATTCATTTTCTTCTCTTTCTTTTTTGGTTTGACTAGTAGATAGGTAAAGAATGAAAAAATTTTAAGCTGTTAAAATTTCTCATATCAAAATAGATGCTACACACACACACACACACACACACACACACACACAAATCCCAGTGAGTAAAGGGGTTTCCCTAAAGACTAGCTCTCATAGTTCTAGAGGATACTATGCAAGCTACTAAGGGAGAAAAATCAATCAATGGAACAGCTCCAAAGCCTAATAGCCACAATGGCTTGGCACAGCAAACTATCTCTATCGGTGCACTTTTATCTAAGGGGCAATCAACAGCTATCTAATGTACTTAAAGCCCTCTCACTGGGAAGGAACTCATGGGTGGCACTGTAAATATAGTCAAATATATATGGCTGGAGAGGTCAGAGATCCTAGAGAAAACCCTATCTCTGTCATCTGTAGACATTTCTTACTGTATGATAAATATGGATCCTTGTATTTACAGACAAGTATACCGTACACCACTTATCAAATCTTTTTGCAGTAGATGGAGGCTATTACAGAGTTTCACAACTGGTCACACACAGAAAATATAAGTCTGAAATATGCCCAGCCCTCAGTGACACACCTACAGTGGAATGTCTACGCCTAAGGCTCACAGAATGTAGCAGGACAGGGTGGGTAGAGAGAATACTAACACATCTCTCAACTCTCACCAGTGAAGTTTCTTCATATAACAGAGTGTGATACACACAGAAGGCCCCAACTGGCCAAGGTGTAGAAAATAAGAGACTGGTGAGTGTGTGTCCCTGGAGAGGACTCCTATATTAAACCTCACCCACCCATTGCTCAGGGACCATTGTGGAAGAGAGGTCAGAAAGATTGCAAGAGCCAGGGTTGGTGCCTGAACATAAGGAAATGGAGCTATTCCGGCCTCTGGGAACTTGCTCATATGAACTTGCAACAATGGTGACAACATGCACAAGACCCAATCAGACAAAAACCCAGCATAGAACTGGGAAAATGGGAAGCAGGTCCCAACCTTAGCCAACTGATTATTGCGGGGTGAAGGAGAGTTAATCTTCAAGGAAGTGACTCTAGATAGGCTGGCTATGCTCCAGTGGATGAACTTGGACTGAGGGACATCTGGGTACAAGAGCTTGATCAATAGGCCTCAACATATATATGACAGAATGCATGAAATCCAGAGGTGGTCTAAAATTAAGATCTATTATATGAAATGCACAAAAACTCAAATATATATGGGCTTGCTGCCAAGTCTCATGACCTAAATTCAATCCATGGAACCAACAAATGGCTCTCTCTCTCTCTCTCTCTCTCTCTCTCTCTCTCTCTCTCTCTCATTGGGATAAGTCAAAAGTGCCTGGAACATACAGCATGGCCACCAGGCCAGATAACTCCTAGTGAGGGTGGCAGGAAGCTGGCCTGCTCCATTCTAGGGACACTGTCTCTTACCCAATGACCCCCAAGCTAAACCATTAAACCGCTAATCCTTTAATCCTGAGTCCTTTGTAGATTATGGGACCAGAGGACAGGACAAAGGCCATGTAGCCTTAGTAGCCCCCTCCCTCCTCCTACCTGCTACTAACTTAGTCACATTGTGCTACACAAAACTGAAATTTCCCTGGGTTTGTACAAAATGTATAGCTGTATCTGTCATCTGCCCATCCTGGTGATTATGGATTACCTTGCATACAGTAGCAAACTGTTGGTTATTTCCTGCTCCAATTACAAGATAGCCGTCCTTGGTTTTAAAAGCCTTAAAAACAAACAAGAAAGACATATGTAAATGCATGTCTGAGTATGGGCAAGACCACAAAAGTTACCTTTAATTTTGAAGAGATTTATGTTGAAAACTGAAAATGTTTTAAAGATGCTATTTATTGATTTAATAGTAATCTAATTAATATTTTTCTCTTATACTTACAAAATGGTTTTCCTTTAGGACTTTCAAAGTACTTTCTAATGTTTCCACTAACTTTTAAAATACTGAAAAAAACAGAAAATTTTAAGAAAATGATAGACTTTATTATAACTTTTAACATGAAATTCTATATTCATTATTGTATTTATTGATATTGAATATTTCAAACTTTTATGTTTTCTGTTTTCCTAATTTCCATTTTCTCTTGTGGAACTTTGTACGGTAAAAAGCCCTTTATGTTAAGTGTAGAAGAATTGATGGAAATTAAAAGAAGGAACAAAACTATTGGACGCATCTTACTTCCTTCCCTAGTATCTTTCTTTTCTTAACCCTTGTTCACGAAATCTATTTTAAAAACTTTTGATAAACTCTAACTCAGCTTCGTCCTTTTCTATATCAAAGCCAAGGGTCCAGTTTTACCTGAATATACCGAAAGATGAAGCTGCTCTGAAGATTAAGTGTACTCCCCAGGCAGCTGTAGCCACAGCTGGACCTCCGTCTTGCCACTCGTTGAAAGGAGAGCAGGAGGTGAGGAGAGAGGAAGGGACAGAAGTGGGAGCTGTTGGAGCTACATCACTTTTTGAAGTTCTCAGATGTAAAATTATGGGTGATTTTCACTTTTTAGTAGTAAAAATTGACACAAGATCAGTCTGGACATCACATAGCTTTACATACATAAAAGTATCAGTTAGACAGCCTAGTGACAACTTGCAGTCATATGGACAGCAGGAAGCCCCCAGATAGGCATCCTCAGCACCTATCCCTGGCTCATTTGGAGATTTCTTCTGCTTTCTCTTCCCCACATATATCAGAGTGCAAATGGAGAAGCCAAGCTTTACCTCCAACTGTCAAATCAGTTCCCTCTCAACATAAACAAGCTCCTTGAACTTCCATTCTTCCAGGGTACACTGCTTTGATCTTTATCTGCTTTTCCTTTAGTTGCCCCTTCCTCTGAGAAACTGATGTCTATCTAATCTAGCAGGTGTTACTCCTATGCTGATGATCTCTGTCCACACACAGAACCTGTTCAGTTATTTTAGTCTCTTCCTCATTTCCACAGAATCTGTCTCTTCTGCCTCCACAAGCCTCCACTGAAAAGATAACAGCAACACAACAAAAATTCCATGGATCCTCACAGCCTTCTCAAGGTCACTTGAATTTTTCTTCTTTCCTCTACTTCTAAGTAATATAAAAGTGCAACCTACTTACACCTGCTCACAACATCACACTGCAAAGCCTTTGCTGTTGTGCCCTACCCTGTCTTTATATGAAGTGGTACTTCCTTGACTGCTCCAAATTTTTGTCTCTCCTCAGGCTACTGCCTTCTCTCTAGGCTCTGCTCAGATTTATTTCTTATCTCTCTGTCATGTTTTCCATGTGCCTCTTTTCAGGATTTGCTCTCCTTTGCTTTCAGAAGCCTTCAGCATCTGTCTTTGGTCTTCTTACTGGAGTTGCTTCTATGGGAGTCACTAGGCACATATGGTTATTAAATTTAAGTGGACCAAAATTAGACAGTATCATAGAGACTACATTGTGTAATTCTATTCATATGAAATGCTCAACATAGGTAAACCCTAGAGACAGAAAATATAGTGACTACTGAGGGCTGGAGAAGTTAGGAGGAAATGGAAAAGAGCTAGTAATGAGTGTGAGATTTCTTGGAAGGGTGATGAAAGTGCCCCAGAATAGATTGTGGTGATGGTGGTAAAACTGTGAATGCTCAAAAAATCATTTAATTAAACACTTGAGTGGGTGAATCACATGGTATATGAACTATATTTCAATAAAGCTGTTAATTTACAATTTAAGTTCCCAATTTGGAGCCACAGTCTTACCAGTTAAAAGGCAAGCATTCAATTGAAGCATGTGGCTGGTGGCTACTGTATTAGACAGTCCAGACATGGAACAAGGGAAGAGCTATTGGATACTGGTGCTGGCAGAGTGCCACTGGCAAACTGCATTCTTTTTCTTTCTTGCTCATTCTTCTAGACCTTTATGGTATCTGAAGAATGTCAAGGTTTGTAATACAGGGTTGATAAAAAGTAAACAATTGATCAATGACTAATCCCAAAGAACGAATCTGCAGCTAAAATGAAACTTCTATTTAAAAGCTATTACATGGTTTTATTCCACTCACATTCGTGCTGGATTTGGTAAGGAATGCTACTAAGAAGACATCACATGAACTGTTTTAAGCATTTTTCCTGTCCACAGGTCCAACAAAGTTAGTGACATGGATAATGCACTGGTATTTCTCAAATGGTAGAAAGGAAGTCGACAGTAGACCTGCTTGTGGGGTACAAAGGATTTAGAGCTGAGCTGTCTCGGTAAGCCATTGCAACTGTGAGGGCATGGCAATTCTTCACCTACATTTTTGAAGGACAGGGTGGAGTGGAGGGTGGGGTGTGAAGGAACCATGTGCTGCTAAGTATAATGCAAAGAATGGTTTCCAAAAGTTTATATCAGTGGCATGTTCAGTAAGTTAATGTTTGGAGGAAAGGGTTTGTGCTCTGTTAATAAACGGAGACATGCCTACTCATTCCTTGGGCATTCATTGTGTCAGGAAATGTCTTTACAAACACAAGGATTTCAGAACTTTAAGGGGATAAGCTACTCTGTGATCATCTGTGTGAAAATGAATACTCAACAGCAACTAAGTCATCAGGACACAATCGGAATATGGATTACAAGGGCTAAGGTAAAGTTTGAGTTATTTTAATAAATATTCCGCTATTATTTCTATAGTGT